ACATGGGAGTGGATCAGTTATGCTTTGGGCTTGTGTTGCAGCCAGTGGCATGGTGAACATTTCACAGGCAGAAGAGAAAATGGATTCAACAGATTCCAGTAAATTCTGGAAGCAAACATCACACCATTTGTAAAAAAAAGATGAAGGTGAAAAGAGGACAGCTTCTACAACAGGACAATGATCCTAAACACATCTCAAAATCCGTAATGGACTACCTCAAGAGGAGCAAGCTGAAGGTTTTGGAATTGAAGAATGGGTGAAAATCCTCCAAACAAGAACTGAAAGACTCTATGTTGGTTACAAAAAGCGTTTATAAGCTGTGGTTGCTTGCCAAGAGAGGCACTACTAAGTACTGACCATGCAGGGTGCCCAAACTTTTGCTTCAGGCCCTTCTCCTTTTTTGTTACTTTAAAACTGTAAAAGATTGAAATTACAAAGAAATATTGTGAAATGTTTCATCTTTAATCAATTTATCTACTGCTTACTTAAAGGACAACTTTGGTATTTTTCAACCTGGGCCCTATTTCCCCATGTGTATGTGTGCTTATGATTCATGGGTACAACTCGTTCTAAAATTGGTTTAGTATTGAGGGAGGCGGATGCAACCGGGAGCCGCGAAACGAGCTAAAACGGTAACGGGGGCAAATGTGTCCCGTATAAGTTTGCGCATTAAAAGTGCTTTTTTTCGCCACTGACCGGTTCAGATCGCCTGTGCTATGAGTGCTATGAGTGGAGTCAGCTGTCAGTCAGTGTTGGAGCAGAGAGGGGGAGGGCGTCCCCACTGGGTACTGTAAGTGAGTATGTGTGTATGAAGTGTGTGTGTTACGTTAGAAGAGTCAGAGGACGGAGTCTTTTACGTGGAGTGCCCAAATAAACGGGCCTTTTTCCTGAATGCAAGAACAGGATGTCGCGTAACACCCCGTACAACTTTCATAGGCTGCCTTTGTCGGAAGGCGAGATGCTGAAGTTGTGGCTAGTTGTGCTACAAATGGATGCTAACACTCCTGTCCAGACACTGCGCCTTGCAGACCATCGGGTCTGCAGTGCTCACTTCTCCCAAGATGACTACTGCCAGCCGAAGAAGAGAAGACATCCAATCCCGAAACACCTCTTCCTCAAGAAAACAGCTGTCCCACGAGTAGAAAGAGCTACAGACACAGTGGAGCAAAGTTCGTGACATCACACAGCCCAGAGGTAAGGGAGAGGCTAAGTTAGTATGCTATTTACAGAAATAACACTGGCGATCTGAACCGGTCAGTGACAAAAAAAAGCACTTTTAATGCGCGAACTTATACAGGACGCATTTGCCCCTGTTACCGTTTTAGCTCGTTTCACGGCTCCGGTTGCATCCGCCTCCCTCAATACTAAACCAATTTTAGAATGAGTTGTACCTATGAATCATACGCACACATACACATGGGGAAATAGGGCCCAGGTTGAAAAATACCAAAGTTGTCCTTTAACTACTCACAGTAAACAAATTTTTACCAGGGGTGCCCAAACTTTTGCATGCCACTGTGCAGTACAGTTTTATGTCATTATAAGGTCTTTCAAGTAGGGTTGATGGTTATATGGTTAAAAAAACATTACATAAAAATTATGTTTCACAAAAAAGAGAGTTTTGTACTGAAAAGACTTGAACTAAAAAGTGTCAGACTGTTCCACTTTCTTCTCTTCAAAATAAAACATATTTAGGCCCAACCACCATCCTTAAGCTTTAAAGCCATAAATTTGACAGTCATGACAGTGAATGTGTCTCCCTGTTATTCTTTTACAGGCAGTAGCAGCATATTCATGTCTAAAAGTAGAGAAGAAAATCCATCAGGCTGCTCAGCAACCTTTCCTGTGGTGCTTCCGAATGTTCTAGACAATGGACAGTTGCTTTAAGACCCCCACAGTATTCATAAGGTCAACTTTCATGTGGGTATATCACTGTCACTGTAAATGTAAGGCTGTCATTATAATGCATGTGGATGGATTTCTTTTGGGAGACTTTTTTTTTTCTTCAATCTTATATTTAAAACATGTTTCTTTACTGTTCGGAGCCCAGCAAAAAGAAAACAATCTCAGACCTTGAAAGTATTTTATTACCTGATGTGAAACTAAAGTGAAGACTCACTGGGAGGAAACTCATTTTTAGAGGAGACAAACTGTGTGAATAGCATCCTGTCAAGATGTCCCTGTCTGTCTACCTACCTGTCTCTCCACACAGACGCTGGGACACAGCATGCCCACCTCCCACTTAAAGTTGGAGTAGGCAGTTTTATTTTGGAGTCACTGGCCAAAAATCTCATAATAAACTTTGAGCATATTTTAATTCATGTGGTCAGAGAAAACTAGACTGCTGCACCTCCTCTTGGTTCTGTTTTCAGGCTTTGGAAAATCTAGCCTGTCACGCACGACTTTGGACAATCACAAGTCATTTCAGAGAGCAGGTGCTTCTATTGGCTGTTCTGCAAATGCAAATGCAGATGCACATGCAAGTTTCTTTGGTGAAAGCCTAATTCAATGGCAGAGAATCTTGCAGAATCTCTGCCTACACTGCAAAGCAACCCAAAAAGGGAGACAGACTTATCAAAAACAGAGTCAGGGGGGTGCTCAGGCTGAATTTGAGCCACTGCAATTGCTGACAGGGGGAGGAAGCAAGCCAGAGGGACCATGGGGTGGCTAGCCAACTACTCCTCGTTGTATTTGTTGTCTGATAAACAGGGATAAAGAGAATGGGGAGAAGGGGCTGAGTGAATGTGCTACAGTATGTGCAGCTCTGCAATGAAATTAGATGAAATAAATCAATGTGTGGGAAACACTGGTTTACTGTATGAAGCACATGCATATACCCATGGTTGTTTGGTGGGAGGGGCTTAGGAAAAAGAGTGGAGTGTTGCAGGTGAAGGCTGTATTTTCAGATTCTGTTGTTTTTGTTTTGTTTTGGAATAGATAGTGATACAACTGTAAAGTGCAACACACACCGCCGCCGGCGCGGCGCTGTGGCCGTCAAGGGCCGCCCCCCAACACACACTGGCAGCGGCGCCTAGCGGCACCGTCAACATGTATTTCCCACCCCAGCCCGCTAGGTGGCTGTACCTACACTAGTTGCCAACGGTTGCCAACTGCTAGTAACAGAAGAAGAAGAGGAAAAACTTTGAGGCAACAACAACTTGAATTTCACAGGTGAGTTTCTTATCAAAGTCGTCTTATTAAATATTTGAAACAACCGGAGTTGATCCTACGAGACGAGACGTACATAAAAGGCTTTTCTCGTAGCGCCGCCATGAGCGCCGGCCGCGCTGGAAATAGAGCAGTGGGCTGAAGCAGAGCGGCGCGGCGCGTCGGCCGGCGCCAGTGTGGGTTGGTTCATAGCATATAATGGAGGCGGGCGTTTTGACGCGCGGCGTACGGCGGCGGTGTGTGTTGCACTTAAGTCTTAAAGATGGAGTTTTTGAATACTAGTGGTAGTGCTCTGCAGTGTTTTAACAAGAGGAAGGGCTGTAATGTTAGCTACATGGATATAAACAACCCATAATTTTAAATATTTAAAATATAGATGAACTTTGTAAATGTTTCATTAGGAGGGAAATGCATTCAACAAAAATGTTAGACCTCAAGGATACACACGTTTTGGTGAGAAATGCTGAACGTCAACGTAACTTTTGTTTGTCTATGGGGCTGTACACATGCCGCATCTTTAACCACGACATGCAGTGTGCGCTACTGGGTTCCGAAAGTTGACCTCGGTTTATCTCGGGGCGCAGCTCTGGCGCTCTGGATTTTGAGTGCGTCTACCGCGCGTCTTCATTGAAAACAATTAATTTGGGGGCACAAAAAATGCGGCATGTGTACGACCCCTATAAAAAGGCTCAATAGGGCACCTTCAAATTGTCATCACTGTTTGGTGATGCAGCTTTTTTTTCTACATAGGATATATTATCTCCTGTGTAACATCCCCTACATAGGTGATATTATGTCCTATGTAACAGATATCATCTCCTATGTAACATCTCCTACATAGGAGATATAATGTCCTATGTAACATCTCCTATGTAGGAGATATTATGTTCTATGTATGTAACATACTCTACATCGGAGATATTATGTCCTATGTAACATCTTCTACATCGGAGATATTATGTCCTATGGAACATCCCCTATGTAGGAGATATTATGTCCTACGTAAGATCTCCTACGTAGGACTATTATGTCCTGTGTAACATTCCCTATGTAGGAGATATCATCTCCTATGTAACATCTCCTATGTAGGAGATATAATGTCCTATGTAACATCTCCTACATAGGAGATATTAGGTCCTATGGAACATCCCCTATGTAGGAGATATTACATCCCATGTAACATCCATCACATAGGAGATATTATGTCTTATGTAACATCCTCTGTTCAGGAGATATTATGTTCTATGTAACATCCACTATGTAGAAGATACTGTCCTATGTAACATTCCTATGTAGGAGATATTATGTCCTATGTCGCATCCTCTACGTAGGATTTACAACATCCCATGTAACATCCATCACATAGGAGATAATATCTGGTATGTGGGAGATGACCCTTGATTTTGGCCTTTTTTTTTTCACCTTTCCTTTCAGGGCTTCCGTAGCTCCAGGATTTTGTCTCTAAAATCATCACTACAGGCAGCGTCTCTGCTGAGCAACTTGAAGACTTACTGGTACAATTTTACTATTTTAAACAGAACCTAGCAGTATCATAGACATAACATCTGAATTAATAAAATGCTGTCAACAGGATACACAGCTCTTAGCCTACACAAGTATGTAAATGATCATCATTCTTGATGTAGTACTTAAGTCATACTCTTCATAGGCATTTTTTAGCCTACAGACATGTGTCAGACCTTGGGGAAAACGTTTGTCTAAGACAACCTCTCTTTTCTCTCTTAAATAAGGAAAAAAAAAATATAACGTTTTTTGCACAAACTAACACTGCACTAACACTGACAATTAAAATGAGTCAGACAAAAAAAAAATCCCAGAAAAATGTTTAATCCTTGTCATAGTGAACATGTTGAGTCCAGAGCTGCTATAGTGACCACAGCTGAGAGACGGCTGTTTGATACATGAAAACAAACACCAGAGATCACAACCATGTTTGGGTCACGTGTTGAACACACTGCACAGAGGCTACTCAAAACAAGATATTTGAATATAGGCTACTGACTGAAGGCTGGTTGACTTCTGTTCATCACAATCACAATGCATCATTAGTAGCTTAAACGATTAAAAGGAAACTCCACTCAGTTTCGGAAACCAAATACAGTATTATTGGTCTAGGACAGCCTGATCAGTAATTGTTAACAGAAATAGTATCCCCAGAGTTAGCTGTCAGAAAATTAAGACGAGAGATAAAGATGATTAAAAAAGGGGATTTTTGGGGGGAATAAGGAACAAAACCATAGAATAAGAAACATTTGGGTATTATTCAAACATTTTCTGGGTTTGTTTTGCCTCCCGTACTTTTTGTTCCTTCACCAAGAATATCACAGGCTCAAATGCTGTGGTTTCTGTATCACACCTTTTTTTTCTTAGTCAGTTAAAAGTAGACTCTGGAGGAAAACATGGTTCTGACAAGAAAACTGTCCAACACTAACAGGCTGAACCAAAGCAATAACATGTATGGAGTCTTAACCTGAGTGGAATTTCCATGTAATGCTGTGGCAGTAAGAAATAGCAACATATTCTTTGGGGAGTTCTCAAGAAGCAGGCGTACACAGTTGGCCAAGCTGCATTATTTTGTGCTCAAGAAACAGCAAGAATATTTCTGTTTGACAAAAAGTAGGCATTCACTACAATCAATATGGAAGATGTGTTACAGAGCTTCTATCCAAAGTCAAAATCTTGCATGAAATGGTCAGATGTAACATAAAGTGAGCATCAGTATGTGAGACTGCAAAATCATCCCAAAACATTAACATTTTAACACATTTGCATAACTACATGGTCAGACAAACTGTGATCCTGCCACTTGAAATCTCCCACTAGCATAGAAAACTAAAAACCAGCAAAATCTAGAATTGCCATATTATTAAACATTAACACCAACATTCAGGTTAGGACCTACTTGCTCATGAAAATGAAGCTATAATAATGCATAACAACAGCCTTGTATCATTGCCTTCACTTGCTCGTTATTACAGTAATGCATTTGTTCCACACACAATTTAAAGTGCAGAACTGTGATGGACTGTGTGTGACACAAAGCAAGTCAAAACATGAGTTGAATCTATGAAATAAATCCGTCATCCTCAGTGTAAGGCCTGAAATGTCCGACACCTATGATGAGCCCCCATCATATCTGGAAACACCCATACAAAATATCATCAAGGGGGAAAAAAAAGATAAAATCTAAAATACATTTCAGATCACAGTGCAATAAATTCCGAGATTCATCCACACCAATTTCACCATCTATTCAAACTGTGTCTATCTTCACTTGTGTTTCACATTGAGCTGATATCAGTCATACAACCAGGGACCAGTAAGTAACTTGCAGAGGCTCTTCTTCATATCCATATCAGTGCTGCACTATAATTGTCCTCCAGCAGGTGGTGCCATTACACTGTTCTGCATATGATGACATACAAAAACAAAACTGGGAGCTGAGAACACAGAACAAAAAGGGCCTGTGTCTCTCGATCACCATGACTGTGTCAACAAAAACAAAACCTTACCAATTACCAACTATTACACAAGGAGCTGTTACCTTATTCATGTACAGTTAGGAATTATATTAAAGTGTTTTTTGACAACAAACTGGGACAAATGCAAAACTGTATGTTTCGCAGTCTACTGGCATAAAAAATATTTCTCTCCAACTTTTTTTTGAGTTTGTTGCAGCACAGAGGTCAGACCTTGATGCGTTTTAGTGTTGAGCATGTAACAGAAATCCATCTTCAGAAACCTCCATTTAAATGAGAAAACAGCTCTTATATACTTCAAAACTGCTGAACTGTGAAACCTCCTTTGGCTACAGAATGCTGTTCTGTCATTATAATAACAAATGAGAGTCCAACAGTTCCTATTAACATGTCTGATCAAAGCTTGGGCCTTGGTGCTGCCTAGGCTGTGGTAAATCTATCACCCAGAGGTGATCAGCTTCTTAAATGGCTGGCTAAAAATTAAATATTCAGTTCTGACCAAAGATATTTACAAAGTTCATCCAATTTTTAATTGTAACTGAACTTATTTCTTGTATCATGGGCTTGAGCCTTGGGTGTCTGTTGAATCAGGCCGTGCCCCTGAGACTTGCATTTAGGAAAAATAACAAAATCAGATTACTCCTGTAGCTTGACTTTGGTAAAAGAAAGTTTACTTGATGCATTATTTAATGAGACAGATACGCTAAAATCATCTGTGTCGTTGGTAGATCACTGGCTCCAGTGTTGACGTGAGAGTGACTTTAGGGCCAAAGCTGTGAACATACAATTTACCTCTTTCTATGGAAACAGAGAAATGTATCTAGTTTTTTAAAGCAGTATTGTATTCAGGGTTATTTGGCAGGAAAATTGGGATACTTTCTGCATCAGGATTGATGGAATTCTATATTTTTCTTATTGTCAACAAATCCCATGTGCAGGCCCACACCAACAGTGAATGCCTCCTTACTAACAAGTCTGGTGTGCGTATCAAAGCCTGATACGTCTAATGTTTTCCGTGCCTCAGAGCTCCATTGTTGTCCCCAAACTATTAAAAACACATCAATGAGCCACATTGTTGCACTGGGTGACATGTTCCCTCATTACCATGAGCTTACACACTGCAGTTAATTTTGACTCAATCCCACGCACCCCAAATACTCACGAGAACACCAAATGTGGATTAATCTGCTGCTCAAACTAGTCCCCAATGCCAGCCAAACTGTCCTTTTTGAGTTTGTTTAAAAAAAAAAAAAAAAACAGTGACTTGCTGTTTACATAATTACTAAATTACTTTTGTTTTTCAAATAACAAATACTGATCAATATCAGGTAATAACGTGAAAAGTTTTTTGTAATAACAAATTGTTTTTCACATTTTTCAAACATATACTTCTTATTACATTAAACTATTAATCTTATGTGAAACATTTCATGTTGTTATAACTTGTTTTGTTTAGTTTTTTTACTTGAAAAGTTTCCTGTTATAATGTGTATAATGTGAAAATGTCTTAAAAATGTGAAAAACATCTTGTTTTACCAAGAATTCATATTATATATCACATTATTACCTGATACTGATCTTTTCTTGTCTGTTTGCTTGCTTTTTTGTTTTGTTTGGGGGATTTTTTTTTTTGGTGTGGCAGCAATACGTTTTTGTATATATTTGTTATATATTTCTATGTGCTTTAAGGATTTAAAGTAGGACTTCAGTGTGGTTGAATGGGCTTAAGGCTGAGCAGCACAGACAGGGTATGAAAGGTAGAAAGTACTGGCAGAATTACACATTGTTGGTTTTAGTCTTCTCTTGAGATTTCTTTAATATGACAAAAATATAGAATATGACCAGCATTACCCTTTAAAGTTACAAGTTCCCACTTTCTTCACTTTTTGCATTCCAGGGATGGTGAGGATGCTCTAACTGTTGGTGTATCAGAAAAATATAATTAATTTTCCTCCTAATATTGTGTTGTGTTGGCCCTGACATTCCGTGTATCAGTGTATCTAGTGTGATCACTTCTGCCTTTTCTGCCTTTAGACATGGTTAGGTGTTTGGAGCATACTGACATTTTTAGAATTCAGCACTGGAGCCAACAATAAACCAGCCACACCACTGGATGATTCTGGTGTCAAAGTTCTTTCCACTGAAGGGTTAAAATGCTCCTTTGACCACACTGTCAGCGTCCAAGCTGAAATCTTTAAACATCCAACGTAACATACAGCCTCCTGTAAAGTGCAGCAGCAGAGCCTCATGCAACGACAGTAAGCTTGAGAGAAAACGTTTAGTAGCAGTGACTTCTTCATACACATCCTTCTAATGCTTTCATCTTCCCTGGTGAAATAAATTATGTTTATAATCCCTGGGCATCCTAAGTGTATAGATGCCTTCAGAGAATATTTCACTGCTTAATGCTACAAATGTGGCCCAGAGATATGACGGCCACAGCTGAGATGTACACTTAGAAGCAAAGTAGAAAAAGCAAGACAGAGTGGATTTACCTCTGACAGTCACTATGTAAAGTTGTGTTTCCAGGAAATAATCGTTCTTCAATAATAAAATGAAGCTTTGCTGGTCAGCCTGCTGCTTGTTTAACTCGTTGACTCGCTGATGGGGGCTGGCATTTTAAGACAAGGGAAGGTGATGGAGGCTTTCACAGCTGGACAGACTGAAAAAGCCCTCGTTCAGTGACCTGATGCTTTAAACTTCTTAAACCTCAGAAATGTGAGCTGATTTCCTAAAGCAGCAGTCTTAGTGAAGTTGACTTGTGTCACACATGCCAAATCAAATGTCCCAGACTGACGGGCTTCGAGGGTGAAAAACTTGGAGGTCACAGGATGAGTCCTCTACAAACTGGAAGCTTAATGGTACTTGGTAGACTTCTGCTCTCAGTGCACTTCATGGTGACCGCAGTCAATCAGTGAAGACAACCAGGGTATTCCAAAGTTAATGAGCTCAGAGTGGGGTTGGGGATGAGCTAGAGTTCAGAGTTTGCTCCTCTTTCCGTCTCGTCTCCCCCCACGGTTTTCTCATCCTCGCATGAATTACAGCGTCTCTTTTGGAGGCACGAGAGTCGGTGAAAAGAGGCATCCATTGCAACGTGATGACAAGTGTGTGAGTGTATGTGTGTGTATGTGTGGGGCGGGGGTTGGTGTTACCATATGTGGGATTCACAGTGAGTCATTTTAATGACGCCCACACCCCCACCTAGCCGACGGTAGTTCATTCCTCCGTACAACCTGGAAAGAGAGTCAAATGATGAGCAAGGAGAAGTTCAAATGTTCTTTAGTGCAGTGAAACTATGTGCTCTGGTACTCAGAGATGTGATTGTGGCAGAATAAAGGAGGGAGACCACACAGACTGAAGAAAGTGACTATTAATTGCAGATGACCTTTTCAGGGTTTCTGTGACGGACTGTTTAGTAAGCCTGTACTGTAAGGATGTGCATGGACAGGTCTAATGTAATACTGATCAGTCTAATGAAGTAAGAAGTTTTGTTGGAAGTGTTGGCTAACAGATGTCACATAATGATGTCTCATCTTTATTACTGAAACAGGACATTCGCTAACTAAAATGTACATAACTTTTGTGTACATATACTGACTAGCTGCTGTTATTGCTGTTAAATCATTTCATGATTACTTAGTAGCTGTATTTTGTAAGGTCATTATTTCACAAGGTGCCTCTTACCTCCATGTGTTGGCATCAGGATCGTAGACTTCAATAGTTTTGAGATACGTTGTTCCATCAAAGCCTCCCACTGCCATCAGCTGACCATTTACCACAGCCAAGCCCACCTATACACACACACACACACAACACAGAATTACACTTCAGCCTCGTACGCAGAGTAAAACATTTTTGATAACCTTTTCTCTACCTTAATATCTACTATGGCAGCTCAACGGATATGTAATAAATCCTTTGACAGCTTCAGTGCAGTCCTATCTAGTTATTGACAGATGACTGTAAAGCAGTAACTAAAACTATGCAACAACAAGCCTCATACTTAAACCACACAAAATTCCAGCCCACACACTCACCCCGCTCCGTCTGGACGTCATGGCCACTACAGGAGACCACTGGTTTGTCCTAGGGTTGTATCGCTCTGCGCTGCTCAGCTCTGTGGTGTCGTCTCTCCCTCCAACAGAGTAAATCATGTCCTGGTAGACAGCACAGCCAAGGTGCTTTCTCCTGGTTCCCATAGGAGACACTGTGTGCCAGCGGTTCTCTTGGGGGTTGTAGCGCTCCACTGAGAAGAAGAAAAAAGACCTGGGGTGACTTTTAATTCCTGTTAAAATAACAGTATCTTTAGTAATGACCTCATGACGTCACTGCACTTTCAGGCAGATTAATTAATCCAACCAATAAAACTGCCTCTCTATTCCTGACTAATATCCCTTTGGGTTACAGGTTTTGGATGGATGGTCCTGCCCTGCATGATGTCTCACATGGAGTTAAGGAAGCTTTAAAGGAATACTTCACCTGCAAAATGACCATTTTTATGTAAATTACTCAAAACTTTACAAAATATCTCTTTACAAACTCACACATCTCGTGCAGTATAGTCCCATTTACGCAGTCGTACCCTCAGTACTTGTCAAACACATGCATATTCACTAAAACATAATGATTTACACTTCCACCTAAGAGTAGAATGCATGCCTTGGAAATATGATGATAAGCAGATGTTTTTAAATAGTTCTGCTGTTGTCAAATGAAGTCCCCGTTTACTTCAACTCGTGAAGAATGTCTGCCTTCTTTGCCTTCTATGTTCACCAGGAAAGCATGTGAAAAAGTTTTCTTTATGAATTTAAGGTAACAAGCTGTGATTACCTGATATAAACATAAGCCCCTTTTCCACCAACATTTCCAGGAACTTTTATTACCAGGAATTTGTTTACCTGGGTAAAAGAATTCCTGTTAATCTGTGTGGTTTGCGTTTCCACCACATCTCAAAGTTCTGGATAATTTATTCAAATTAGCATGATGACCTGTATTTGGCGCCGCCAGCTTGGCTGGTTACGTGCTGGTAAAGAGTTGGGGCTGTTTGTCTCAGCCAGCAGCTCAGTTTAAAAGTATTTTAAGATAAGTGTCAAACTAAGTTAGTCTACATACAGACAGCTGTCATTTGAGCTTATTAGTAACAACTAAGAGAACATCCAGTTGAATAACTTGGCAAATTCAATTTGTAACATTTGATGATGAAACAAATTTATTTTGTTCAGGTGATGACATAAAAAGAGTTATGATAAACAGTAGAAGGGAACTGATCAAGTTGAAAAAAATGGTTTGCTATTAATAAGTTATCACTAAATGAAAACAAAACAAAATGTATGATGTTCGGTGGCATTAGGGCGAATAGTGAAATAAAACTTAACTTTAATGGTGTTGAAATTGAAAGAGTATATGAAACAAAATTTTTGTGAGTGACTGTAGATCATAAACTATGTTGGAAGCCACACATATAAAAGAACATATAAAACGGATATTATATAAATCTAACGCTGTTCTTTATACAACAAGGACGTTGTTGAATTATTTTTTTAAATAAAATATATAATTAAGAAATGTTTGTATATATTGCACTGTTCACTTGTTTTGCCATATATGTCCTACTGTGCTAAAATTTGGGGAAGTGCATATGTGCAACTGTTTATAGCATCCTACACCTTAAAAGTTTTAGACATTGTGTATTTAAAAACACTGGAAATACTTTTTCGAGTTGTCAACAAAAGCCTTCCTCTCTGTATTAAATGTTTTTTCAAATTAAGAGAAGGAAATCATAGTTAAGGGGGGTTGTTTATTTATGAAACATGTAAAGTGAGAACCAATGTAAATTACTGATGTGTTTCAGTTTTTAGAGTCAAAGTGGGATGGACTCAGTGCTGAGTTGAAATTGTGTTGCTCTCTGATGAGTTTCAAAATAGCCTTTAAATGTAAATAATTACAGATTATAATGTTAAATGATTTAAATGCAAAATAATGAAGGATTAGAATTTAGAGCATAATGCATTTATTTAATAATTAATGTATTATTTGTGAAAAATAATCTTTGTTTCTCAAGATGTATTTTACTGAGATAAAAGTTATACATTCATAACTGGATTGTACCTTTTTTTTGTGTGTGTGTGTGTGTGTGTGTGTGTGTTCACTCTTGAGTTGCATATAAACATTAACATAAACATGGCAAAACCTATGTATAAAATTCTAGCACGTTTCAACCTCATGACACCTTTCCTCTCATTCCTAACTGTCATTCTTGTCACAGCTCTGTGACAGTTCAAGACTGTACTTACCACATGACTCAGCACCATACCTGTATTTAATGGTGACGTCCCATCAGACCCTCCAACAGCGTACAGAAACCCGCCCAGCACAGCCACAGCTACACCCAGTCGTCTGGTACTCATGGAGGCCACACGGGTCCATTTGTTCTCCTTAGGATCATACCTAAAGCATAACAAGGGTGCCGCTCTATTACTAGGACACATACCATATCTTGGTCTTGGTCTGAACTTGGATGGTTTATCATAGACACCAGAGTTTTGATGGATACCTTTCTACAATGTTGAGACAGGAAACCCCATCCTGTCCCCCTACAGCATACAAATAACCACCCAGGACTGCCACTCCCACGCTGGTACGACAAGTGCTCGTGGGCGCCACATCACTGCTCCACTGATTAGTCTTTGGATCATATCTGGACAGCAGAGACGGAATAAAGATAAATGACACTATAATTTTACTTAGACATGTAAATATCCAGACAAAACGTGGGTGATCATGCCAGACCTCTCCACAGAGTTGAGGTACGACGAGCCATCATGACCTCCAACCGCATACAGCAAGTCATCCAGAACACTGACACCAACTCCACATCGACGTTTACTCATTGACGCTACCATTCGCCACTCGTTGGTCTGAGGATCATAACGTTCCACGCTGGAAATGGCGTCTCCACTGCACCAACCACCAACTGCAAGACACAGAGACATGGGAGAAGAGACAAAGGAGGGAGTACATATTAAATTATCACGATGCAGGTGTGTCATTTCATTCCACAAGGATTTAATTCTTACAATACTCCACACTAGCACTGCTGTCTGCAAACTACTACATATGTCTCCATATTTGATGCAAGCGAAACCCTGGTTTTGAGTTACTGTCTAAAGGTACTGACCTGCAAAGAGTACCTCTCCACAGCGGATGGGTTTTCGTGGTCGGGTTCTGGGGCCTTGCATCAGTGGCCTCTCCTGTGGCAGCAGCAGGTAATTCTTGGCTTCATCAACCAGGTCTCTGAAAAAATAATAATACAATCACAAATCAGGTATCATCACTGTAATCTCCTTATCGTATGAAATGGACGAAGATGTTTCTCAACTATTTTAAAGAGATACTTCGCTCATTTTCAACAAGCTTTGTATCAAAACAAAGGGGTAGTATGTTTGATTGAACTGTGGCAAACTTCCCTCCATCTAACCAGTGCCTAGATCCTGAAACCAGATCGGCACCAGCAGCATTTACACACCAAAATCACTGAAAGAATAACAAACACATGGCACTCACCTGCACTCCTCATCACTCTTTATGAGAGGGTCTGACCCAACGGTGCCCACAAGGAACTTGGGGCTGAGCAGTGGCAGACGGACATGCTGCAGGACCTACATGATACAGCAAATCCAAGTCACAAACTAATGTTACAAAAGAACTCTGGCAGTGGCAGTAATGCTGAGGGTTTATGCCTGGAATGTACATCAATAATCAAAGAGGCAAAAGAGCCAGTGACTGTTGTGGTGGGATATTTCCTCAGCCACAAACCTGGGGGAGCTGTGGTCTGCGTTCCTGGATGCTGTATTTCACCCAGGCCATCACAGCGTTGAAAACCTGCTCCTCGCTCCGCACATTGAGCTCATCGCTGGAAATGATGTCAATCAACTGGTTGGCAGGCAGCAGCATGAACTCTTCACTTTCCATTACCTAAGACAACAGAGTAGAACAGTCCATCAGCAGCTGTGCTACATACAGAGCAGAGTCAGTTCTAATTCTCCTCAATCAATCACTAAATACATCTGTTTTCACAACCACACCATAAATGGAAAGTAACACTGGACTACCACTGCTCTATCTCTGTTGCCCCACAGTATTGAGGTTGTATATCATGTGCACACCATCTAAAAAACAGGCCTGCCTCCTCGACCAATTCCAGTTCTGGATGTACATATCTAATTATATACTCAGTGTTGAATTTTACACACATCAGATTTGAAATTTATGCAGTTTACTCCACAACAACTCCTTTTCACATTGCTGTTCTCGTAGGCATTCAGTAATGAATATTTTACTGCTCTCTGTGCATACACCTGAAGATGTTAAATAAGTAACACCTGAACTTTCCCTGCAATGAGAAGTCCAAATGTCTGATGTGAAAAAAAGACAGTCACCTCTGCTCAGGATGAAGATGGGTTGAGCTATGCTAGAAATTTTACTTTATAAATTATAAAAATTATAAAAGGTATACACTAACACACCATGACAGGTGCCAGAAAAAAAATAAGATGACAGTCAATCATAGTCTGTGCTCACAAACACAGTCCTGAGAAAAGGTCTAGCAAGACAACACATAGGGAAAACATGCCTGTATGGACAGGCCATGACTTTAGAGGTCTGTTCTGTGCATGTTTTGCACTTGATCATCAGGCTGAACACCTTTAACATGAAGTATTTGGAAATACCAGATTGTACAAGTAAGAGAATACAAAGAAATACATTTCATCAAATGAGAAAAAAATATTATTTTCCATTCTACCAGCCTGTTTCCCTGTCCATCAGACAGTCAACTTATTGTCACATAATCCATGGTTTGTCAGAAATGACATTTACTACTCAGTGTCACCTGAGGCAGCAAAGACAAGAGTCAGATGCAAGACAACAACGGGCCTGTGTGTCAGTTGCCATGGAGCCTGTTATTCCATTTTATTGACAAAAGCTGCAAACCAAATCATTCTGGCTGTCTAAATGGAAAAACTCAGGATGAAGGATTACTGGTGAGGAATTCCGAAAGTTTTAAAATATATTCATGCTTATTATAATTATTATATTACTAGCATATAACTAGCTGCACAAGGCATGATGTTTGTATGAAAATACAAAGTGGAACTGTCTGCTACCATCACTTTTTCACTTTTGCAAAATCTGCCTTACACTTTGACTGCATACATTTATTTTGAAACGCAATGTGCTGTGAAGTTACATCTTCTTAACGTGGTGCTGTGACAGCGCTCTTCTTCTTCTGTGCTGTGCACGAAATGCTCGTGTCACATGAATCAAACCGATATTTATACAAACAGAGAATCACGGTGACAACTGTATTAGTTACTGTGTTCACATAAAAGGAAGTAAACAGCTGGAGAAACAACCCAACTGAATTATGAGCGTGTGACATGATCTCCTGCTGATGACATTACTAGAATGACAGACACATGCTTGATTTTTATGCTTTCCATACAAAGCAGTCAGTTGTACATGCAGAGCATCCATTGTAATTGCCAATTTTCATGCAGTGTCCAGTTTTTAACTGTGTTTCTACTCATGCATGTGCACGACAAAGACTAAACACAAGGAAAGTGCACCTTTGACAGCAATGTGGCAGGATAAAATGAACTACGACAACTCATTATGCCGTGTGTCTTTACATGGAAAATAACTTACAGTCTGACTCTAAGGGGCTGTGGACAGTTATTCTTATGCTTTATGCTCTTACCTCCTGAAAATTGTGCTGGGTGAACTTGTCTGCAATGCGGAGAAGCTCACGGCAGGAGTGTGTGTCTGCGAAGGCCCTGATGCCTAGACAGTTGGAGGGATCCAGCTGCCTCTTGAGGAACTCGCAGCAGGCCTCCTGGATCTCAGCCAGCTGGAGAAGACAAGCTGCAGGGAGCAGTGTTTGGACGTTTCCCTCCTCTACTGTCACCTAGGAGCAAATAGGTCAGGACATCAGAGACTCGTCACATATAGTTTTGCCATAAAGCTGCAATTAGTAAGGGCACTTGAGCAAGAATTGTCTGCAGAGTGTCTCCCGTCAGCTGTGGAGCACTGCAGCTCCTCTCAGTCTCTACAGGACTCACATAGCACAGAGTTTTTGAGGATGACGTGCAGCACACAGTTGCACCATACTCTTTGCATTTTTTATGACAGAGCTTACTGTAATGTGGGGGATATACGGTGTAGTGCTGCAACTAATGATTATTTTCATTGTCAATTAATCTGTCAGTTCCTACTCTGCTAGTTACCTCGATGAATCAATCAAGCAGCAGACTAGGGTACACCACCCATATTTGTGTTTTTACTGAGTTAAACCTCAGTGTTTTAGCATCTTTTATCCACTAACATGAAACGGTTAGCACTAGCTTTGCTATACTACACTTTTGAGCTACTTATCAACTCTGTTGTTAATACAGATTTGGGTGGTATACACCAGTCTGTTAGTTAGCTAAACACAGTAGCTTTCAAACCATGTGCAGCATGCATGGGAATGAATTACAACTTTTGAGAACAGGTTACAGCAGCTCTGACATTAGTCAGTCACTGTCTGTGACATGAACCATCATGCAGTGCATGCATGTAAATTTGATGGGCACAGGATCGGCTATATGTAAGACAATCTGAAAATCTCGAAACTGCATGCTTATGGTCAATATGGTTAGATTTTCTCATCTTCATTGACATAGGGCATTTTGTGTTACTACAAACACGACACACCAATCCCCAATGCCAAATATGACCACTGTTCACTGCTACTGCTGTTACCTGTGAGGTGTAGGCAAAGTCTATGAGCAGCTCCATGGCTCTCTCATCGATGTCACGGATAACCACTTCAGTCTGCCTGCTCTCTGCCAGCTCTCCAGTGAACATCGCTCTGAAGAGAACATGGGAAACAAGAGGGATTACTGTTACAGCCAGCACTCAAGGTACTCCACCTGCACTTTGATGTTATGTACTGGCCGGTGAATTCATTTCCTTATACAACTTCCTTCACCAAATGTGAGTTGATATCAATGTTTGTCTCTTTGTACCTGAAGTAAGGGCTGCACGCAGACAGGATCACGCGGTGTGCGTAAATCTTCTTGGCGCCAACCACCAGCACCACGTCACAGAGTTCACGGTGTTTTCTCAACAGGTTGATCACCTCCAGGGTCTGCCGGGGGTGTTTGTCCGAGACATAGGGCATGCGTGCAGGCTGGGGGACCCCTTCAGGGAGCTTGTTGGGGTCCCCCAGAGTACAGCGGCTGGTGATGTCCATTCCAGTGGCGTCTTGGCGTGCGCTGGTGGCCCTAAACATGAACCAGATGGGCAATAAATAAGTAAGCTAATTCATCATTGTTTTTCACAGGATATCTTAACAACTTATCTTGTTCACAATTCATACCATAGATTAAAAACATCCAGTGACCTCTGCTTCTGCTGCTTCAATTCTGACCATTCATTTTAATCCGTCTCTTGTGAGTCTTCCAGCTTTGTGGAAGAGCAATACTAAATTGCTGTAGTGACCCTTTACCCAATTAAAACTGATCTTCCATGGACAGCCACGGGAGAACATTGTTTGTATGATCCTGCTTAAACGGATCTAAAATAAGAACAATAATAGCTAGAGAATTCATTTTTCCGTAGAAAGCTAAGGCTCTGTCTCCCCTGTCATCACACTGTACACTTGTAATGTAATGTTACTGCGGCACATTGGATGTGGTGCACAACCACACTATGCAAATAAATACCTTTTCACTCTGCTCATAAAATGAGCATATCTCAAAAACTAAAATATGTACACAGTTCAAATAACTGGAGGCAGCTTAAGAAATATTTTCCTTTTTTTCTACATTGAAAAATATTTTTAGATCAATATGTTTTATGTGCTTATTCTGTAAAATATAATGGAAAAAATAATGTCAGATTTTTTAATTACACCATTTAAATACTTTTATCAATGATTATGGTTTATTGACTTGCATTACCTTTTAGCTTAGGTTGTACTGATTTCAGGGATATGAGAAGTATAAAAATACTCAGGGCAATGACATCACAATAAGCAAAAATACCAATGTAGGCACTGGCACACCATTTCCATCGCAGAGTTTAAAGGGTTGAAGGCTTTAAAGGGAAATTTCGGTTTATTTCAACCTGTCTCCTATCGTCCTAAATTTGTTTCAAGTGACTAGTGACATAAAAATAATAGTTAGCATGTTAGCCGTTAGCCTACATACAGCTTAAAGCTACATAGTAGCATCAGACCTGTTAAAATGTAAGTGAATGGGCAATCTTCAAGTGCAAAGTTAGTCCACTAAACAAGCTTTTTTTCCACAAAGACCGCCTCATATCGTTAGGATAAATGTCAGAGAACATATAGAAAACGACATGTAAACATGTTGTCTTACCTTACCGGTGTGCTGCCATGTTTGTTTACCCCTTTAGCTCTGCTTTCCAAAGCGCGGCCGAAATATATCTCGCGAGCTCTAGATAAAGCCCAGCTGGATGCTAACGTTACTCCAGGTGGAGGTGTCTCGTCCTCGGTCACATCCAGACCTTGAAAATAAGGCTGCAACCGGTCCCATTCCTTGCAACAGAGGCATTCCTCTTCTGTGGGCACTGGGGCACAGCATTCACAGGTACACCACCAATCTCCAGAGCTACGCAGCCTTGCAGCAGCCATTCCTCCTCTCTCGTCCTCTAACTGTTGCGCCTCCCTCTCTCTCTCCTCCTCCGTTCTTCAATTTCACAAAGCTCTTCGTCAGTGTATTCTGGCTCAAATAAATAAGGGCGGCAATCAAACTCTGCAAAATCAAATTCCTGCTCCACAAAGTCTAAGTCTGGCAAAAAGTCAGCAATTATTCTATAAATCTTTCATAAAATAAATGAATGAACTTTTCAGGCTACTGTCCGGTTCTGCCGTCCAGCTGTTGCTGCTTGTTCAGGCACGCTATGAGATCGCTGCTTGTTCTCGCGATATTTAAGCCGCGCTTTGGAAAGCAGAGCTAGATGGTAAACAACAATGGCACCACACTGGTAAGGTAAGACAACACGTTTACATGTCATTTTCTATATGTTCTCTGACATTTATCCTAACGATATGAGGCGGTCTTTGTGGGAAAAAAGCTTGTTTAGTGGACTAACTTTGCACTTGAAGTATGCCCGTTTACTTACGTTTTAACAGGTCTGACACTACTATGCGCCCCGGCTGTATCTAGGCTAACGGCTAACATGTTAACTATTATTTTTATGTCACTAGTCACTTGAAACAAATTTAGGAAGATAGGAGACAGGTTGAAATAAACCGAAATTTCCCTTTAAGTTTGAGGAGTTTTATTGCTTTAAAAGGTGTCTGCACATGGAGGACTGGCACCTGTGTTGCAATAAGTTAGCAACACATTATCAGCGCTGCTGCTGTACCAGCATTTATTCATACATAAAAATGTAGGCGTCTTTAAAACCTAATATTTTGCAATTTTGAGGATGTTTTCTTCTTCAGTTACACAAATATTGCAGTGTATTCAGATTGGGGCTTTTAGCTGTCATTGTACACAGAGCAATGTAGGAGTTTACTTTTGAACCAGATGCTGGCACAACCTCCTCTACTTCTGCCCAGTGTGACTGAATGATCAGCTGACAGCACAGTCAGAAGCCAAGCAGGCGAGATGCTCCATGGTGTGATTTTATAAGTGAACTATGACCAGGATGCACACTTTTTCTCTGACTGTGTGGAAATAATAAGCACAAGCACTAAACGTGGATCTTGCTGGGAAAGCATGAGACTAACGCAGGCTGATATAGGGGGTTAGTGTGGGGCGGCTGCTCTGCAAGAGTGCTCAACTGAGAGTAATTAGGCAGGGGAGTGAATAATATATTTATCATATTTAAGGTGCAATTTAATTAAAAAAAACATATGTAACAAAGTTCTTGTTGTAATGTGTGTTAAATTGGGCCTTAGACATGTTACAAAAGAAAAAGAAAAGAAAATTCAGCCATTATCTACTCACCCATATGCCGATGGAGGTCCTGGTGAAGTTTTAGAGTCCTCACATCCCTTGCGGAGATCGGCGGGGGCAGCAGCTGGCACACCTAATGGTAGACGGCGCCCCAGACTAACATCCAAGAACACAAAATTGAATCCACAGAGTACCTCCATACTGCTGCATACGGGCGCCGTCTACCATTAGGTGTGCCAGCTGCTGCCCCCGCTGATCTCCGCAAGGGATGTGAGGACTCTAAAACTTCACCAGGGCCTCCGTCGGCATATGGGTGAGTAGATAATGGCTGAATTTTCATTTTTGGGTGCACTATCCCTTTAAAGGGTTAGCAATGCAAAAGGGAAAAGGTCAGTTCCACCCAAGTCCTCTGGGTGGTTACGAGGTGGGGGGAATTCTGAATAGTATACCCAACGACTAGTCTTTCATCAAGGGGAAGCTCTGTATGGCAGGGATTTGCCTGCCTTGTACACAAGTTAATGTGGTGACATAACAGGATAGATGCCAGTGAGTCATGGGGTGTTCACACAAGATCTCCATATAGGCCCATTCTGAAGCATTTTCATTACTTCAATGGATAGCTGTACATTTTCCCTCTTGAATGCAAAGGATTTTAGTTAAAGCTATAATGCGTAACTTCTACAGGTCCGTAAATGTCCGTTTCACCCAAGCCACTAGTAGAGGAGATGACACAATGCAGATTAAGCCGATGGGCTCCTCTAACATCTCGCGGTATTTTTCAATATATATCATTTTTAGTATGCGTGTCGACCGGCGACATTCCCGCGCTGGCACACAGGAAATGCTTCCTCACAACAAGAAGGGAGGGGTAGGAAGAGTGGAGAGTCTCATAGCAAGAGGTAGAGCGCAGGTAGAAAGAGAAAGCAACATGGCGGAGAAGCAGCCGAGACACAGTTCAGAAGTGGATCCTACCACAAAGACAAGTGTTAATCTGTGTAAGGTGTGTGGCGACTGGCATTTCATTTCATTTCATTTCATTTCATTTATTTCCCTTTGACCCCTCCCCGGGGTATAAGGGACAAACAAAAATAACATTAACAAATCAGAGCAGGCAGCAACCAATGCACAACAAAATAAATAGAGCAGAATTAGTGTACATACGTACAAGTCAAAGCAAATCAAGAGAAACTATTCAGGATTTTCTTTAAAAGTTTCAACAAATTTGACAAGACCTTTACTTTTCAAGATGACATTAACTTTTGAAACTTATAAATATTTGGATTTACTCTATAGAACTGTCCGGCCAGCTCTCTTCTCTCTTTGTTAAAAAAGGAACACACAAGTACATAATGATATTCGTCTCCTCGATTGCCAGTCAAACAAAGAGTACATTGCAGAGGGACATTTTCACGGTCATACCTGCGCTCAGAGATAGGTAACTTGTAATTTCCACACCGAAACTTAGACAAACAAATCCTTTCAGCAGGTCTTAACATAATCAAATAAGGTTCAAAAGTGAAATCCGTTTTAAACAATTTATAACTATCACATAAAGGGTTGCTTTGTAATTTCTCATGCCATCTCTGTAGTTCCATGCCAGATAATCTACGTTCAATCATTAATTTTAAATACTTAGGGTTCATCCATCCAGCGTCATGCCATAAGTATGATAAACCACAATCATCAAGAATATTTTTAACTTTGGAAATCCATTTACACTTAAAAATACTGTCATCATAAAAAATCTTGAAAACAATAAACACAGTGTGTGGCGAGTGTTACTCTGTGTACATGGAAGTGCCGCCGGCTTATTAGTTGTAATAACGCATTATCAGCTGGGAGGCGACAGAAGTTACGCATTATAGCTTTAAGTAAAAATCTCTTTCAGCCCTCATGAACATTCAACATTGTGGTGACATTTGGGCCCTTTCACACCTTGGCTTTGTCCAGACTTTCTGAGTTTTCAGTTTGATCCAAACCACAATTATAAGTGTGTAACCTCCCGTGGACCACGATCCAGAGCAAACAGTCGAACTCTGGTCAGACGAAAAGAGGCAGTCTCAGTCCGGTACCGAACCATTGTGCAACTTGTTTCTAGTGTGAAAACATTTTTTGGATGGTTCAGACCAATTACAAGAAGCTCTGGCGGTCTATTGTCATGTCTTACGAGTATCCTGGCTGCTTTAAGGAATAACTTGGCATGTAGTGTGTGAGTGTGGCTGAGTTAGTGAGAGAGAGAGAGAGAGCGAGAGAGAGTGACTGTAAATGCGTTCAGAACAAACAGGTGTTCACAAAAACACACAACAGAACAAAAGGAGCCACAGTAGCACATGGGGAGAGGAGAACGACTTTCTAAAGAGCCAGCTGGAAAGAAATCTGAAAAACTACAACAATTTCCTAAAAGGATGAGGGAAGGAGGAAACCAGAGGATGGGAGAGTCAGTCTGCAGACCAATCGATGTCAAGAATCTGGAGGCGCAGCACACATAGGTAATGACAAGAGTACATAGGTATGTTATATAAAGTTCTTTAGTGCGCTCACATAATTGCAATATGAAACTAAAGCTAACTGGATCAAATGCTGACATTGTAACAAAGATATTGGTTTGGATTTTCAGGTGTGAAAAGGCCCTAAAAGACATTCTTGTTTAGCAGACTAGAGAGAGTCTGGAAAAACACATATAAAAACGTAACTACCATATAATCATTTTACAATCTGCAAAAGGATCACATGAAAATTCCTTCACACCTTAATACCACACCTACCTGCGCATTGGCTTTGCGTCCATGCACTGAAGAACAATGTTTGGTCCCACACCTTGGGGTTGACCTACAAAGACAACAAAACAAAACCCACGTTCTCTGTAGTCAGTCTGTTCTCGCCACGTAACTGAAGGAAACTGACAGTCATTGTAGCAGTATGTTTGTCAGAGGGCCCTTTCACAATTTTCCTGTTGTCCATTTAGTTTTTTGGTCTCTAATTTTATGTTTCCATTTAGAAAACATGCTTGCCTGCTGAGGAAAAAGCTATGACATCCTCTTGTGGGGGTACACTAATTGCTTTTCTTCTTATCATTGTAGTTTATGCCTCATACCCTGTCTTGCTACCTTCCAAATTTGATCTGTAGTCATTTCTTTAAACAAGACTGAAATCAGATTGATCCGATTGCTTACACTGAGTCACCAGTTTATTAGACACACCTGTGCAAACTATTACAATCAAATACATTCGCCCTGCAATAAACCCAGCGTTTGTACAGTTTATGAAGTACGCTTGTTGTTGACACTGTGTCAAACAGGCCTGTAATTAATTCTGTGGTCATGCAGTGACACGTCTGCTTTTGTTATCCAAACACATACATAAATGGGGTTGGATATATTGTAAAACACCTTTCTGTGTAATACAGTCCTGTAAACCACCACCACTAACTACAGCCCTGACCATGGAATTGAATCTACAATTGTCTGATACAGTATATACAATCAATGCACTACAGGTTCCATATTGGTAGTGTTTATTGCAAGGTAACTGTATTTAGCTGCAGTACATTCAACAGATATAACTAATCAGCAGCTAATTGTGTATTTGCTAGTTAGTTAGGTGTGAAATTTTAGTGCTGTGAGTCCTGCTGTTGTATAAAACACTGAAGTGTACAGCATTCATGTACATCTTATCTGTGGCTGTTGAATTCTGTAAGGAGAATGAATGGGATGCATAATTTAGCTGCACTGTGGGTGTGTGAATGGGTTAATAAGAGTCCTCTTTACTTCTTTTACTATAATATATTTTGGCATCTTCATTTGTTTTTGGAATAACTGTATAGATGATAATGAACTTTGTGGATTTGAGAATCTGCTGTCACAGATTGCAGCAGCTGGGTGGAGCACAGTTTTCAGATAACACTACACTAAAGTTATGAACCGCACCACTGATTAGGATTAATTAACGTTAATAAGAGAACAGGAAGGCAAAACGATTAGTGTTGCACGGAATCAGTGGCTCAGATGTTCACTTAATGCTACCATTACCATAGGTATTGAGTCAGAGTATCAGTCCTTTCATTCATATAACGCTAATACGCGGTCGCCCTCTGTGATTTATGTCAAGCTGCATTCTTCGCATGGTTAAAAGGTTGTTAAGATTAGCTGGCAAACTGTTTGTTGTTAGCAGTTTCAACAGACAGACAGATCCGGGTGCGAAGACACTTAACGTTAACGTAACGTTAGCTAGCTAGCTAACAATAATCACTATTTACCATGTTATAGTACCAATTTAGCTTCAGCGAGGTTTTTCGAAAGTTGTGGCAGAAACAAATTAGCTAAACAGACGAAATGTGTGATTCTGAGCCAAACTGCATTCGCGCAAAACGATAAAAATCTACTTGCTAGCTAACGAGTTAGTTAGATCATTTCTCGGGTATGTCGGTTAACCCTATGTGCTAACGCTAGCACTGAGGCAGGGAATCCACAGGCGATTCAAACCTTTCACATTAAGATGAATATACACAACCAAAGAAAACGAAATGGAACAAAATATGAAGAAATTTCCTTGTTAGCCAACATGTTGAGGGTATCTGTAGCCACTTGATCTGTGTTAGCATCAGATGAGAAACCACTGACTGTTACAAACTGCAATGCTAACGTTAAAAAAGTGAACGTCAACGCTTCCGAAACGACATGTGTTGACATTTTTATTCATTGACAACTACCTGAGAATGAAGTAGAGACATTAAAGACTGGTTTTACCTTATATTTCCATCCCAGCAACAGATCGAAGTTGCCCAGGTTGCTAATGTTTACAATTTAATGCCGTCGGCTAAACAGTGGTGCTTTTCTTCCTCTGTATAATGCGCATGCCAAATGCCAAGCGCCACTTCCGGACATTGATTTTTCAAAATAAAAGCATGCGATTTCGTCATTGCATTATATTTATATCTGCTGACAATATTATCAAATAGGCTATTGCTCTTGAGAAAAGACATTTTAATAGCAAATCATTAGCTGCCCTTAAAATTGACGGAGTTCCCTCCAGAGATCCAAGGTGAATCTCTAATTTTGTCAGAGCATTTTATAGAAAACTCTATGAATCTAAATTGAATGAAAAAGATTGTGCCAGTTCCCTGGGCAAAAAATCATTCTAATATCCCCTAGACCGATAAAGAATTTAAATCGACGTATGACTCTGACCTGTCTATTAATGAAATCAAAGATGCATTGTTTTAAGTTTTAGGGCAAGAGGACTGACAGCCTGTTGAATGTTATGTACACTTCTGGGAAATTATTCAAATCACATTAAAATTACATACAGAGAATGCATTAGTCAAGGAGGGATGGTGGCTACCATGAAGCAGGACATTATATCTTTCATCCCAAACCCCATAAAGATCCTTATCAATAGATAGTTGGCATCCCATTACTCTCTAAACATTGGATTATAAGATCTTGGCTGTATATACAAACAGATTAAGGAACAGGCTAGATTCAACTGTATCTGAAACTCAAACAGGATTAATGAAAAACTGACATATTAGCTGTAATATCAGACTCATCTTGCACTTGTTGGATTATGCAGATACAGTTCTATTTCGTCCCTCCTGACCACCAGAGGCAGTGCATAAGCACTGGATAACTCCGCCCGCGCTAGCGCATGTCGAGTACGAATATCAACGGTAGGTTCGTTCGAGATGAGCCAGTCCTGCGCAGATTCTATCACCGGCGATCGGCGCACAGTGCATGCCGATTAGTTTTGTGTCTGACCTCATCCCGACTTGCTCTGACGTATTACAAAAGTGGACGTCGATAAAGCCGCGAGAGCGAGGCGGCTGCAGTTTGTAGAGCCAGGCGCTGCAGTTGCTCTCCACCGACTGCACCGCCTGGCTCTCACCTGATCTAACAGCTCATTGGTTCAGATGTCGACTCAACAATATGACGTTTTAGATAAACTACTCATTTTTGTTGAATTATAGAGATTAAGATTGTATTTGTCTGACCTGAGGGTTTATTCTGTGAACAGAAAACATGTAGTGTGACTGATGGTGAAAACAAACTGATATATGGGTCTGATCACTTTTTTAATGAATTGACATCATTCCAGACAGGATGTTAGTGTGTCTGTGACTTCCTGTACGGACTGAAGGCTGCTGGAAACTGTCGGGAAACTGTCCGACTTCACCACAGCTTTTTGTCACTGCCCCCGCTGCGGCCGCCTGCTCTCGTCTACTTTTCAGGCGAGGCGCAGTTCATCTCAGACAAGCCTAATGTCACCTGTGACCCCTGCATGAACTCGGGGAGGCTATATCTTCTGGTGTCAGCAAGTGATCTGTTCCTTCATTCTTCTCACGACCGCACGTCAAGGTGTACATGAGTAGGTCAGGCACGGCCGTTTCTGTGGCTTGGTGCTATCCTTATCTACTGTTGGTTTACACATGCTGCTGGCTCTGTGCAGCCTCATGCCTCTGGGGTAGGAGTAATGGGCTAGTGCTTGTCCTCCAAGAGGCTGTAGCCGGCGTGTTGCACGGTTGTATGTTTTTGTGCCTGCTTTGGATTACTGGGAGCAGGCCAGTGTTAAATTGAATTCTGATGACTTTTTTCTGTGTTTTGTAGTTTGGGATTCAAAGTGGCTGTTTGAAGGAAGCAATTGAAAAATTGTCGAGTACTTGCCACGATTTTCGAATAGTGTTTTTGCTTGTGTTGCTCATCCCTAATTCCAATCTAAGGGGGTGGATTTCTGTGGGACCACTGTGCAGGAGAAGTCTGCCACACAGGGAGGTGATGTGCTCCTGCGAAAAAGGGGAAGGCAACGGGGACGGACCAGCTCTCCTCCAAGGTTGACCGTTTGGCTACTGATATGGAGCAAATGAAGGCGCTCCTTCTGAGTCATCAGCCTGCTGGTGGGGTGGTGCCTCCTGCTGTCTTGTCTGCCCAGGAGTCACCGCTTTGACTCGTCCATTGGACGATGCTCTCTCCATCGCAGCTTTGTTGAGTCAGTTCCATGACTCACAGGGTAGTCCAGCCCCTCTTACAGCAGAGGGCTCTTCTCATTCTTCAGCCCCGAGCTCTCGGCGGGGATCTGATGACTCCTCCATGGGAGCAATCATCCAGGCAGCCCTGGCACGTCTGCAGCTTGATGCCCCAAGTCAAGTGCAGGCTCCATGCGCTTTCCATAGGCGCAACCCTCCCTCAGTGAAGGTTACGGTGCCATATTCTCCAGATCTTTTAAAGGAGCTGCATTCCTGTTGGAGTGACACTTCAGCCCTCACCAGGCCAGGGTCAGATGAGCAAGCTTTGGCTTCCATGAAAAAATGCTGAGTCGGTTGGCCTTCTCCACATGCCAGCGGTGGAACCTGCAATCGCGGCCTTGATTGTGGCTCCGGATGAAGCAATGAAAGCAGATCCTAAGTGTCCTTCTGCTCAGTGTAGGGTCATGGATGACTACATCTGCAAGGCCTATAACATGGCAGCACGGGTCGGCCGCCTTGGGAACACTCTTTCCCGTTTCCTCCTTGCCCTCTCATCCTCCCTGCAGGATGTTCAGGTGGACGATTCCGTCCACGACATCTGTGACGTGTCATTGCAGGAGTTTGCCTACCAGACAAGGTAGCTGGGCCGACTGATGTCGACACTTGTCCACACTCGCTGCCATGTGTGGCTGGCACAGTCACCTCTGACAGATCAACCCGTAAGATCCAGCGGAACCTGGGGTGCTCTTTGGCTCTGCTGCTCTGGAAGCATTGGATCGCACCGCTGAGGCCGACGAGACCAGGCGATGGCTCGCGGGTCTCCACAAAAGAGCACCTGCTTCCAGCAGGTGGGGGCTTTTCCATCTGCCCCTCGGGGTCCTACACAACCACCTTCCCAGGGTGGCCAACGTCCTTTGCGGGACGCGAAGAAGCCAGCAAGTGACTTTCTTTGTGCGCTGCGCTGCTCACCACGTAAGCCCCAGGACTCCAAGCTTGATCACCGCACATCTGGCTCCTCCAGGGGCTGGGGGCAGTGGCGCTAGGGCCACAGGGCTGGTAGTCGGCTGCTTTTCCCAGCAGCAGCTCAGGCACTCGGCTGCCTGCTCATCAGACCCTTGGATAGTTGCCACCTTGACCCGGGGTTACAAATTGCAGTTTCGACACCAGCCCCCAACCTTCGGCCGGGTCAAGATGACAATCATCAATGACTCTGCCAAGACTCTAGCCTTAGCCCAGGAGCTGTCTGTCCTCCTGGACAAGGGCGCCATCATACCGGTGGACCCCCTTCTTCAGCCCGGGGCCAGTGGCAACAAAAGGCCAGCAGAATTGTAAACAGGTTATTGGTAACGGAAGTTCTATAATTATATGATATGAGAGGGGCATCCTTAAAAGGCTCAGTCATTCACAAGCAAGGATGGCGCGAGGTTCACCACTTTGTGAAAAACTGCATGGGCAAACAGTACAACAGTTTAAGAACAAAGTTTCTCAATGCACAGTTGCAAGAAATTTAGCGATTTCACCATCTACAATCCATAACGTCATCAAGAGATTTAGAGAATCAGGAGAAATCTCTGCACATAACGTTAAGTTTCAATGTATCCATTACATAATAACGTACAAATTTACATACACTGCAAAACATTCCAACAGCAAATACAAAGGGACAAATTTAGAATATTAACATTATCAAGTCTATACAGTCACTCATTACACACACATACACACAAACTCAATTAACTAATTATGGATGGTCTCACATGCTTATTAAAAACATTCTGTATTGAAAATCAAGCTTCTGTCTGAAGAATTATCAACAATATGTAGTTTTTTATGTAATATAAGCAGCACAGTGGTGTGGTGGTGTCGCCTCACAGCAAGAGGGTTCCCGGTTCAATCCCTGGTGTGGGAGCCCTTCTGTGTGGAGTTTGCATGTTCTCCCCATGTTTGCGTGGGTTCTCTCCGGGCACTCCAGCTTCCTCCCACAGTCCAAAGACATGCAGATTGGGGATTAGGTTAATTGATAACTCTAAATTGTCCGTAGGTGTGAATGTGAGCGTGAATGGTTGTCTGCCTCTATGTGTCAGCCCTGCAATAGTCTGGCGACCTGTCCAGGGTGTGCCCTGCCTCTCGCACAATGTCAGCTGGGATAGGCTCCAGGCCCCCCCCCCCCCCCCCCCCCCCCNCCCCCCCCCCGCGACCCTCAAGAGGATGAAGCGGTTAGAAGATGGATGAATGGATGTAGTTTTATGCAGCATAATGGCTCATAGGCTAGCATTATAACTGATGCGCTATTTAGCAATTTGAATGTTGGAGCTTGTGACATTAGTTAATTTTAATAGCTTTAGATGCTGCTGGGAGGTTTCATCTGTAAAAATGCATCATTATTTATTAACTGATCATGCATTTGTCTGCAAAATAACCACAACTATCTAATAAATGGAATAAAGTTCATTATTTCCCCCTGAAGGGTAGTGGTGTATGAAAAGCAGAAAATAGAAATATTCAAGCTAAGTAAAAGTACTGCAAAATTGGACATACTTAGACATACATAGCAGATTTAGTTACATTCCATCATGTCATCTGTGAAAAAAATTAATTCCAGGAAAGAAAAAACACTTTAACAAGAAATAAACAAAGCATTTTTTTATTGCAGCCATGGACTTTATTTTCCAGTATCTCCATCATCTAATGTGACAGTTTATCTATCCCCGTGTGCAGTTCATACATGGCTTCTATCTCACATTCCCAATCTAAGGAAACATTTACACACTGTAGTGCTATTTGTCTGTACTTAACACATGCTCTACTAAAAAGCATCTTAAGAAATGTTGTTTATTCAAAATTAGACGTGAATGTTTTGAGAGGAACAGACTTGGGCACTGCA